TTTATTTTTTTCAGCTGGTGCTACTACGCATGGTTCTTTATCAAACACTAAAAAATCGTTAAAATCACATGGTTGAGTACATGAATCTGTACCAATATTATATTTAGTACGAATGTCTTGTCCATCCTCATTTATTTCTTCATCACTGTCAATAGTATTATCAATATCACCCAAAGCTAATCTTTTTAGATTATTTTCATTAAATACTTCTGTTTGTTCAATGACAGTCTCTTTTGATATGGTTTCAACATCCATTGGTTCAACTACTAATTCAACGTTATTGTCGTAGTTTTTTTCTTGATCAGATGTAAGATAATTTTCATGAATATCATTTATCTTTATACTTTTATATCCTGGATGCATCTTAGTTAAAACAAATAATGCATCTCTTACATCATTTGGATTTACTAATTGTTCTTCCCATATAGCTTTGTAATTTAGACGTCGTTTCAATTGCAATCGAACCATCATCGATTTATCAACTGGACGAGGTAATGTAGTTACAGTGTCTTCTACATCTGATGGCACACAATGAAGTGGGCCTTTAGTACCTTTTTGTGAAAATCTACTCGATAATTTTCCTGATGTTAAGTTTACAATTTTCATAAAAGGTAATCGTAAAGCAATCAAATGTTTTTCAAGATTATTTAGTTTCTTTAATTCAGACGGAACGTCACACACTTTCAACTTATTCACGATTGCTCGGCTTGGCATTTGTCGTTTCTTTATTTTGTCTGAACATGATTTACAAATCCATTTTTGTTCTCTTGACGATGAATACATAAAGTAAGATTGAATATGTTCTTTTATTTCATATGACATGTTTTCTTTTATATACTTTTCTACAACAAATGGTATCACCTGATTACGAAAAAGTGCTAACCGACATGATATACAAACATAATCAGGTCCTTCTTGAATTATTTGTCGAAATCTATTCAAGTTATACAGATATAAATTTCTATGTTTAACTGTACATTTATGGCTTTGAATAAGAGTATATTTTTTTAAAATCCGTCTACCTTGATTATAAATTCGTCTTGAATTTCGTCTCAGGACTGTATTATTATTTCGATATGATTTTAATGCATTTTGGATCATTTTCAATCTTATCGAATTATCCGTATAATATTTGATCAAAACTTGATTTTTCATATTTGCTTTATATTTGTTTCGAAAATCAGAATTAGTGTGATATTTATTTAAAATATTCATATTTGATTGTCTTTTGACTTTATTACGAAAATCTATACTATTATAATATTTATTTAAAACAGTATTTTTTGATTGTGTTATTAATTTCTTACGAAAATCTATATTATTATAATATTTATTTAATAAGCTACTTTTCGATCGTGCTTTAACTTTTTCACGAAAAACCTTATGTGTGTGATATTTATTAAAATGATGAATTTTAGAAAGCGTTTTCATCTTTTCACGAAAATTAATATTATTATTATATTTTAAAGAAACATGAACATTTAATCGAGCTTGTTCCTGACGACGAAAATCAGTGTTATGTTGGTATTTATTTCGATAATATCTTCTTGAACGTTCAGATTGTTGTTTATGAAACAAACCATAATCAGAGTTACTCTTATTAAATCGATTATTTGGTCTACGAGGTTCTGCTATTGGTTCTTCATTACTAAAAAAGTCCCTTATTTCTTTTTGTTTTTTTCGATTTTTTGATTGCCTCTTTCTTTCATTGTCTAATCGACAAACTTTTGATATAAGTTTCTTCACAACATTTTTAATTATACTTAGATCATCGAATTCTTCGCTTACTTTGTTTGAATAAGAAAAGCTATTTTGAATCTTTATTTTATTACAAAAACTAACACAACCCGGGCGAATCGAATCCATATTTGACACGTCTATTGGTAGTGGCAAACATCGAAAAGCCGAAAAATTGTGTTTAAAACTGGAAAACTTTTTCACAGCCTTTAAAGTTAAAAGTAAAACTCGCCATGAACAACTAATGCGGGATTGAGTTCGTTGTCGTTGCTTATAGGCTTCTTTTCGCTTTGTGATTTTTGATAATACTGATTTTTTTCGAACCATTTTGAATCCACTAGAAACGTGATTATTTATTCACAAAGTAATGCACAAAAATTGTTTCTCTTTGAGATTTAGCACGTATATAAATTAAGTACGGCTAAAACTCCTAAGTGAGAAAAAACAAATCTCCCTTAACTTTGTAAATAAACAACACAAAAGTTTCTTTCGAGCTGAATCTTCTTTTCTACTTAGAGAAGATATACCCGATTCTAAGTAAGAAACTTTGATAAGCCGGAACTGAGCGGCTTTCTTTGGATTGAAATGAAATTTATTATATTATGTATTTTTATTATTTAATTACTATAACTTTACTTTTTCTTAAGATGCAATTATTACTGTAATAAGTACAATCTAAAATAAATGTAATAATGGTAGACATACAATAAAAACATATGAAAAATTTTATATATCGGATTAAGTGATTAAGAAAAAAAAACAAAAGCAATCATGTTTATTTAAACCATGCTTGGACAGATTCACAACTTTATAACACCTATCGATCAGCACTTTGTGTGATAATATTATTTCTTCTGATTTTTTAATTCCTTATTTGTATGATAAATGTCATCTGAAATAAATACCAAAACTTTAACGAAAAAAACAAAAACATACATAATCAGTCATTCCTACATATTAAATACAACGTTAAAAAAAGAAACATTTCCATTTTTTATTGTATTATTTCTTTTCGTTTTTTACTTCATCACTTGTATGCTAAATGTCATCTGAAATAAATATAAAAATTTTAACAGATAACAAAAGAACTGATATACGTTAGAAATCATCCGTATATATTCAATACAACATTAAAAACGAAATATTTTCATTGTTGCTTGATTATATGATTTCTTTTGGTTTTTAATTGGTTATTTGTATGATGAATTTCACCTGAGGTAAACACAAAAACTTTAACGAAAAAAAAATGACATACGTAATAAGTCATCTCTATATATTAAATAGAACGAATAAAAAAAAACATTTTTATTATTGTTTGATTGAATGATTTCTTTTCGGTTTTTTAATTCATTATTTATATGATAGATGTCATCTGAAATACAGTGCAGCTCAATAGAATTTACCCCCTTTGTATTCTTCTTTTTTCTCAACCATAGTTTGGTCTTTTCTTTCGAAGTCACCTACCAAAAGAAAGAGCAGAATCTGCTGCATCTTTTGGT